AAAATAATACTAAAAACATTTTGGAAACTTCACAAAACTTTAGAAGAGTGATTTTTGACGTACGTTTCGGCTGCTAAGCCATTATCAAAAGATTTAGAAAATTTTAGGAGCACCTATTACATTAAGTTTTACATCTAATTATATTCTATTTGGTAAGAGAGTGAGAAAATTCAAGAATAGTATTAGGGGTAGATGTATAAACTCTACTACTAGTGAGTTGTACTTGTTTATGATATTCTGTTGGTATCTTTGCTTCATAAAGGTTTAATGTATTACTTTTTGAATGTTACGTAGTAATATGATCGAATTTTGTTTGAAATTTAACCAATATTCTGATAAACCTGTAGTACATTTCTTGTTTTTTTTTATTGTGTAAAGATGTTCTTTTAATCTTGTCTGTATTGTTGTGGTTGTTTGTCCTACATACAATGTGCGTCAATATTATGATAAAATTTTATTAAACTTCCCGGACTGTTTTTAATATTCGATTTAATATTATTTATGAATTTAGTTTTTCTATAACATTTACTTTCAATTTTTTTTCTGCGCCTTGAAATGCGAATTTGGGAAGTCAAATTGTGTGCCACGCTTCAAAAGTTCTTAAAACCGAAGAGCCATCAAAAAGATTTTTCGACTCCTTTCATTGACCGAGAGAGACTTTCGAATGAATGAATGAATGAAAAGAAGGCAGATCTGTGAACAATTAGCTGGAAATTTTTCGTCGTTTAAGTCCGAATGATATATGACATAGGTGAGCAGCTGTGCTCGAAATCAATTGCCGTTAATATGGTCAAATTGCTTTAAAATATGGTCTTTTGGCGGACACTCTGCACTATAAAAAGATTTTTAATAAAAGGAATGAAGTGGTCCGAACGTTATATGTTGAATTTTACGAGCTTCATTGTGTCCCCTTTATCGATTGCTAACAGGGTGGCTGTGAGAAATTATATGGACTGTAACCTGACAAACAAAAGCTAAAGAATGCCTACTAGATTATTATTAACTGCCTACGTTTTTATAAAAAAAAATATCACAGAAATTCCGTTGTTCTTTCTTAAGTTGTACGATTTTTATGAGTATTTAATAATCACAATATGCACCTATTACAAACATTCTTCAGATATTACCAAATAAAATATTACCATGACGTGAAAAAAAGGTTTTATAATAAAATACAGTCAAACTTTCCTAAATCGAACCTAATAAAGGCAACCAGCTATAAATGTTCGAATTAATTAAAATTTTTATATAAAAGGTAAACGGCATACGCACTTCTTAATAATTTCTGGATGATTATAACAGGGTCGGATCCAAAAATAATTCTAAGAGAAGGGGGGAGGGTAATTAACTGATACCTAAAAATTGTTCCCAGTTGCCAACATGAGTCATTCAAAAGTTAAGCGACATTTTCGTATGTTTTTTTGCGAGTTATTTTTTTGTTTTTTTGTTTTTTTGTTTTTTATTTTTATAAGTATAATTCGATTTTTTCTTACAATACACCAGTACGTACTGAAGTAATCCATAAGTCATAAAGCTGTTGGGAGCGCAAATTTCCCCCATTTCCCCCCCTTGGATCTGCCATTATTTGTAAAGAGTTAAAAAAGAATTTAAAAATTTAGAAACCTGTACTTCGTTCATTTTCATTAGAATTATTTTACAATTCCTAAAATTTTGGATCTTATAATTAGAATTTTTATTTTTAACTGTACTTTTTGTGACTTGTTTTTTATTTATTTGCAAAATAAAACGATTTTTTTAATTTTACAACCGTCGAGGTTTATCATTAATAAAAATAAAATAATTTCCTTCAATTATTAAAGCCTTATTATTCACCATTTCTAGATATAGTTAGCGCATATGATAATAATTAATGATTGCAGCGGAGAAGTTTTTTTGAAATTTCGGTTAACGAAACTTTTAAAGAATACTCGGAAGAAAGTTAATATTTATGAAGGTTTAGGGTTTATAAAATGGGTGTTACCTTTAGGTAGTTGTGTGGTGGGGCACAGGTATAATCGTACATCTTAAGACCCCCAAATGTCTTTCCCGGCTACTCAATTGATTTGACATTTCAGAGTGATCAGTTAAGTTCATAGTCCTACAGGACTTTGAGTGAAAAATTTTGTTTCTTACGGTTATTGTTTCCTGTTGATTATTGTATTGTCATGGAAAGCAGGAAGGTCAGTTATTATTTTTTTATTTATTGTTTTCTTATTTTAAAATTTTTGCAAACGAACTAAACAATTTCGAAATTGTTATGTTATAAACAATTTCAAAATTGTGTTAAATTATAAATCATTTTAAAATTGTTAAGTTCAAGTTTAATTGTTTGTATACATATATTTTATGTTAATAATAATTTCAGCAAGTTAAAGAAATAATTTACTAATTTC